AGATTTGCTTCCAATGTAGAGATCACAGTACAGCATGTGAAGCTGACAGCAAAGGGGTTAAGCTGAAGTCAAGTTCTGATTTAAAGCTGAGCCCTAGCCAAATATCTAAATACACAGATAAAAACAAGGTAGCTATATTTCTGTTCATCCAGTCCTAAGATTTATAGCTCTGTCTCATGGTGGAAGCCATGTGAAAGAAGACTCCAACAAGAGTGCCAGGTGATCGTCTTAAGAGTAAAAAACAAAACAAAAAACCTTTAAAACAGTCAGTGACTCAGAATGTACTGAAACCATTGTTTTAGCATAACAAGCAACTAGCATTCTCAGTAGACTAAGTCAGTGATGGCAGCCTTCATATTTTCTTACTTCATTTAAATTGATTTTCAAATGGAGATAAGCGTATTTGCGAGAATTCACTGTTACCCATTCCAGATATCAGGCTGAAAGAAAATACAAAATGTAAAAAAGATTAAAGTAGTTCAAGACATAATGATGTATTATTGTATGAGCAATGTATAACGAGTATAAAGTTTCTTTCTTGAATAGTCACTGTCTTATGGTGGGGTCCGTTACTATAGCATTGTGAAATTACCAATGTAAAAATGTCTAAATAATATGTATGATATAAACATAATACTAATATATATTTCTTTTTTCAGGGTTGCTTTTGTGATGAGGAAACATTTAAATAACCATTTACTGGGAAAGCATGGAGTTGGAACACCAAAGGAAAGGTTAGTAAATATATTGAAAATCTGTTCAAAACTTTTAAGCACCACCATTAAAGCAGAACTTACATAAAAAGGACAGTGTGATTTGCATTGGTCTCTTAGGTTTAGATTACTAGTAAAAATGTTTTCTATGTAGTTTCAGATCACTTCTTATATTTTGTTTTCCACGGTATATATTTTTTTGAGGCACAGTAGGACCTAATCGATGTTTTAATTTTTACTCTTGCTAATTGCTATTTTAAGATTAGCTGCTTCAGCTTCCTGACCCCTTGCTTGTCTTTCAGATGTGACTGTCTTAAAACATTAATGGCCTATTTACACCATTGTGCTGCGGTAAATGTAATGGCACAACGTGGCGCCATTCAGATTGCACCTTGCCAATGGATGTGCGTTGCACTGCACCACAACGCACATTGATGTGCTACTGTGCTTTGCAGTGTGCTGCTATACAAAAAAACTGGGGGTGGCTGTTTAATGCAGTAGGCCCTTAGCATAGAGTTTTACTGGAACATTTTAGAATCCCAGTTGCTCTTGTAAAATCACTAGGATTACCAATTGATTGTTAAACATATGGAACAAAAGGCCCTCTATGGTGTAAACTACATAGGAAGCATGTAGCAGTGATCAATCATGCATAATCGTGCAATGTTCTATTAATGTGCGATTGATCACTCCTTTTAATTGTTGACATCTATAACTCTGTAGGGCATACATTTTTCAGCTGTTGTGCAAGTGAGCTACTAAAAGTGCCCAAGGTATTCTAGCCTAAGGACTGTATTTCTGTAAACCATACAATAGTAACATTTATCAAGAGAGGCCTTGCAATTGTTTTAAAGACGACTTAGCTGGAAATTAGAAAAATACTGATAAAAGTTCTTAGGTTGGTGTTTACCAACCACATAATTAATGTATTTACTATAGTATAGAAAGCACTATGTAGAAGGGAATAGGCTTGCAATATGTCATTTCACACTTTGTAATTTGCACCAAACTGATATTATTATTATTATTATTTTTCTCGTTATTATTTTTTCAGTAATTTTAGACGGCCAAATATCTCAGCATGATCTGCTGCAGCATCATTCCATATTGTGGGACATACTATAAAATGTAATCATAACATTACCACTGTCAGATATTTTCTTCTGTTTTCATTTCTCTTACAACTGCCCTCACTGAGCTTATTTAGGAGAAAAAACCTGGAAATTACCCAAGTATCCAATCCGCAGGACCTTTGTCAGTTTACCCACTGGCTTGGCACATCTGAAAAAAGAAGTTAAAGGAGAACTATGGGCTAAGTGTTTTTCCCCATAGTTCTCCTAAGGGTCACGGAGGACATAAACTAGCGTCCTCCCGTGACCCAAAGCTTAGTATATCGCTATCTACAGCTCGTGTTATACTGAGAGCGATGCAGCCAGGACAAATCCCGACATTACTTTCGAGATCCACCCAGCTGCGTGAGTGACAGCTGGCTCTGCCTATCTAGAGGCAGAGCCACTGTGCCCGCCCCCTCCCCTGTTCATTCCTCCAGTCAGCGCCGGAGGAGAGGGGAGGGGGAAATCCCTGCAGGGAGCCGTGAATGACAGTCACGGCTCTCTGTAGGGACATGATCGAGAAGTGAGTGAGCGATGGTATGCGTTCGCTCACTTCCCGATCTATTGAGCCGACGTGTGACAGTTCCATTGTCACACGTCGGCTTGAACTATGAGGTTTAATTTACCTCAATTATATACTCTGCATAGTCAGTAATGAGCAAGGGTGGGAATATAAAGATGTGGCATTGAACTGTGTTATATTTTAGTGTAAACATTGTTGCAAGCTTTTAGGGACATTTAGATGTTCACTGAGAAGCATGAGCAGTACAAAAGGCAGTAAGTAATTTGTCAATCTGCCTTCTGTCAAGAATTTGAGGGTTTCCCAATGTGCATAGATGCTTAAAAACTAATATTGCAGGAGGCTCAGTTGTATAATATATAGATCATGTTTGTACATTAACTTTTTTCACTTCAGGATCAGTTCATTTGTAAGGGAATTTGCAGGACAAGTGAGATATTCTCATAAAGAGATCTGGTTATCCACACAGCTTTAGGTAGCCAAACATGTTCTTACTTTGCTAGAATGATGGCATAATTGAACTATTAGCCACAAGCTAGGGAATCATTCCCATCTTCTGTTCCAAGATAATACCTGCTAAACTATGTGTTTTTTTTTTCCACACAGTCTTGAGATTTACACCGCTCTGCCAGACAGCACAGCCAGGCAGATAACACTACTTAGTCTATAACAGTTATAGAATTTAAAAGGAAAATGGTGGTGTCATCTCTCTCCCTCTTGTTCTCTCCCCTCTCTCTCTCGCTCTCCCTCTTACTCTCTCTCGCTCTCCTCCTCCTCTCTCTCACTCTCTTCTATTTTCTTTCTCCCTCTCTCTCCTATTTCTCTCCCGCCTCTCTCTCCGCTCCCAGGATGTCTTGAAACCATGCTCAGCAAGAAACTGGCTTCATGATCAATCATTTGTTTACACTTTTGATTATTGCTGCAGCAGTTGAAATGTGCAGTTTTGTTGGCTGGTTTAAATATTTTTATTGTTCTACGGTTTGTGGAGTTCAATCAACTTGCTAAGCTTTGTGGCTTTAAGTCAGTAGGACAAATGATAAAAACAGAAACTTTACCATCAGCCGGAATCTCATAGTAATTTCTTCAAAACACACTAGTCAGCATGTAAAGACTGGTATGCAGCAGCCATTCTTTTCGAATACACAGTGCTCATCTGCATCCAACCAGCATCTTTTTTTGTATTTTTTATATAGTATTCTGTGATTCACCTGAAGGTAATTAGTCAACTGCATAAACCAGAGGGTTCAGTAAAATCCTAATCCAGGAAATATCGGCAATGAACTTGATTAATCTTTATCAGCAAAAATACCCATAATAAGCGAGACTTGATAATAGATGGTGATTGGTTGTGGAAATCTCCTGATTATGTTAAGACCTGATAAATGAACCAGAGCTCTAGACGCACTTTACTTCCTCCAAATTCTTCTCCCCCATGCCCATGGCTTTGAATGTGTATGCTATTAAAGGAAAGCAAATGAACTGTTTTTATTGATATATTTGTACAGCCGGTGAAAACAGGAAACTTCATCAGCAAGCCGAACCTTCATTTCTCTGTAAATTGAGTTAGTTTTTTCTTACCTGCTTAAAACATTAATGCATTGGCTAGAATAGTGCAAGCTTGCTACATTCTAATCTCTCCAGGACAATCTAATCTGTTTACTTTAAGCGCTTTGGATTTGACTCTGTTTTCTGATAGGTTGCATGTTACAGCAAATTATGATAGAAGCTAGCTAAATAGGTTGTGGCAATTAAATTAATAATGCATTTACTTTGCTACTATTTAGACTTGGTGCTTTGACTGATATATGCAAAAATGGTAATTTATTAAAAGCAAATTCATGTAATTGTACTGCAGAGTTTGATGGACCAAAAAAGTTGTCAGCATGACTATCATCAAAAAAATTAATAAAATGAAAGAAGTTCTTATATTTGAAGTAAGAGCAGCATATTATTTTTGATGGCAGGCATTCTGACAGCCTAGCAAACAAAAAAAACAACTGGTTTCTAGGACATTCGAGGCATGTCTGAATTCTGCATCTCTTCTCAGCTGCTTTCCATATTCCTTTTAATATTGCTCTATTTTTCATGATGCCCTGATAAGTACATCACTCATGTTGCAATTCACAAGATTGGTATCAAACAATTGTGATGAGTACATTCAGACGATAGCAAGAAGTGTGCCAGAAAGGCAGATTGTGCTGAAACGGAATATATCAGCAACTGCTGAGTGTTTCTCCAAGTGGCAAAAGTTAACTCATAAGATTCTTGATATAGCTGATGTCATTTCAGGATACCCCTACAGGTCATTCAGGAACCTCTACGCTAACCTGGTAAACAAAGGTGGTCATAAGACCATATTTGTGCAATCATTCTGCATATGACAGCTACACACCACCACCACAGTTCATTTGCAAGTTTGATCCCATTTCTACCTATGGGAGGAGTAGCAAACATGTGATATGTAAAGAAATGACTAAAAGAAAGGCTGACCGGCAGGTTATCGCAGTGCTCCTAGAAGGTACTGTGGCCCATAAGAAGGACACACATGATCAGTGAAGTTCTGGGCCTTTCTTGGTGTGTACAAACCATTGCTAAGAGAGGTTTCAGCATATCCTAGTTTGTATTTTCAGTAGGTAAAGGAATGTGATCTGCGCTAATAAAAGTAGAGATCTTAACTATATCTCCGTTGCATCTCGCTTTCCGGAGGTTTGTCCAAACAAACTGTATGTGTAATATCTTGTAATGTGTAATGTCTTTTTATATGTCTTAGATACTCTGCCAACAGTGATCTTAACCTATCATAAATTGTGACCCTCATACTGACCACAGCAGGAACTTCAGTGCAGAGGTCTCACCAATAGAATACCTGAGAGAAATAAGAAACTTGGGTATTTTAACTATATAAACCCAGTAATAACAATAATAATAATATTTGTCTGTTTCATAATGCAGGTGTAGAACACAAGATCTGCCAGTTGTTCAGTTGAAATGTAAACTTCTTGTGTATAGCACTGAAAGATCAGAGCTGTAAATCAGATTGGAACAATGGCAAAATCACTTTTACTGCATGTGCAAGTGAGGAAAACCAGCAGTTTGTTTATTTTAAGAAAGTGTCGCAAAGTTAAAAGCCCTCAACACTACTTTGTGCGTGGACATTGTAGATAATTATTCAAAGCTACAGCATGCAGAGTAAATTTTATAATGTAACATTAACTTTTACCATGACAGACTATACATGGACAGGTTATTTTTATTATTTAATTGCAAAATGTATAATTATAGTTTCCTTAGCAGAACAAGTTTCTTGGGCAAACTCACCGGCCCAAGTGGCTCCGTCGGCTAACGAAGGGAAGGGGGGAGGAGTACGGTGACGTCACGGACATCGGACT